CTTAAGGGCTTTGCGGAAGGCCTGGAGGGCCTGGAGGGTGGTGAGGGTTCGAATCTCCACGGGGAGTTCGTTCCAGAGGGTCGGAGCAGCCACAGAGAAGGCTCTCCTCCGGGTAGTCGCCAGTCGACACTGGCCGGCGGATGGAATTCGGAGGAGGCCTAGTCTGTGGGATCTAATCGGTCTAGTGGAGCCCACTCTCCGTTTGTTCCTCTTTTGTTTCCTATGGGAGGGGCCAATCACCTCCAAGGTGTGGCTTTACTCGAGTCGACCCTGTTTTCTTAGTTGTTCTTGTCTTCTGACAGGTCTGTGCATGCGCACCCTGGGAACAGACTCCAGCTGTTCCTCTGCCTCGCTGCTGTCTAGCTCCCTCTCTGCCTCAGACGCAGAGCCCTTGTCTGAGCTTTCCTCAGCCCTCATCAGGACTGGCCCCTGTTCCTCCCCAACCTCCTCACTATCCGACTCTGCTCCCTTTATTTATTTATCAGCATAAATATAACATATGTGTGTATATATGTATATATACATATACACACATATACATACACAAACAAACGCACACACACATATATAAACAATGGATACAGCAGCTGTTCTTAAAGGTGATAATTATCAAGATAAGAGCAGCAGAAAGTGAAAGCTGAACAGTTTCTTCTACTGTGGTGGCTGGAAAAATAAATCTCCTTTAATATATACAGGAAACCTCCATGAGTCTCCTTGCATTTTGTGCCAGTTTGCATTCTAAAAAAATGCAAATAATCCCATTTCTAAATTGCCCCACAAAATAGTGTAACTGAGGCTCCTCAGAGAAAATTGTTAGAACAGTGTATAAAAAAGAACTACTCACTTAGATTATGTAAGTCAGAGATATAAATTATGTCAGTTTCAGAAGAATTAAATAGACCATTTTATGAATCTCCAAATTTATAAATGATGCAGGTTGCTATGTGATGATGAGAGGAATATTTTCTTTTAAACACTTCTAGTAGGATTCAGAAGAATTTACCTTGCCATTTTGAGAAACGGGTATAGTAAGAAGTGCTCTTTAGATGCTCAAGATTGTTATAAAATACAAGTCAAGTAAGTGTAGGGAAATGGTAATTTTTTTGTATTATATTGCACTGTACCACTTCCAAACCTAAGGGTTGTGTAAGTGCAGCTATCACCTTTTATTTCCATAATGAAACAGTAACATGGGCTGCACTGAGGGAATTACTACTCAAATTCACCCTGTGAGTTCTGACATAGAACTAATCATGCCAGCAATTAGCCATGCTTGAATATAAATTTGCCTTCATTTCTAATTTTCTAAAATGCAAATGCAAAATGCATTTAGTTAAATGCCTATCCAAAGGAAGCATACAATACAATCAAATTAAGAACATTTTACTTGATAAGCAGGGGGCAGAGGGGGGGGTTAGTTATAACATAAAGCCATAACCGCAAAAGACTCACAATTGTGTAACTTCTAAAAATGCACTCATACAAAACAGGGGAAGAGATAATTTATGTGACAATTCATAGAACTTAATCAGAAATTTCATCTGATAGAAATAACTCATGTTTTAGACTCAGATCTGCTTTTTCTCTAGATTTAACACAACAAAATAAATCTGATTCAACACAAATATAAGACAGAAGTATATAAATAAGTATATATGCATGTCAGGTTAACTTGTAGTTTGAGATAAGCTCATGATTATTATAAAAACTGGACTCTCTTGGATCCAATCCTCAGTATAGGAAAACTGGAATTTCCCAGCAGTAGCAAATAAGAGAATGCCAAATCTAGTATTGGCATCAAGTCCAGAGCCCATGAAGCTACCCCACATAGCAAGGTAATAAGCGTAACAACACAATCCCTAGATTGTCCCCATTGTCTAAATCAATATACAGGCATCCTAAATTATACCTAAATCAACATATTGACTAACCCTATATAGCTCTAGTTTAGCTATATGTAGATAAATTATAGCTAAACAAAATCCTAAATTAACATAAAGGCATGGCTCAATTAAACACATTAGCAGCAGAATCCCTGGCGACAAATAACATGTCTTTGAAAGTCAACCACAGCATCTCCACTTCCCACTGCTATTAATCTGAAATCCATGAGTGCAGTTCTTAGCAATATTAGCTGCCCAATCAGGTCCTGGTAACAAAACCAGGTCCTACTCATCCTCTCAAAGTCACAGCTAGGCATGGTCTTGTCCTTATAAATTTGGTAAAAGTCTGTAGAGATTCTCAGTCATCCATGTCACAGTTGTCCCAAAAGTTCCAAAAAGCTTTCTCAGCTATTCCATTCCCCACTATCCTGTCAGAGCTGAAAAAGCTTCTTGGATGAAAAGTGAAACACCTTCAAAGGAAAAAAACAAAGGCCAGTTGCCTCCTGGAAAAACACTTTTGGGACATATAAATTTGGTGTTTACCAGTTTAAGTCAAGATTCCCCCAACCAAAAGATGAAACTGACACTTTCAACCTTCTTTTCCCTGAAATGGCCCTCCAAGTGTCCTCTGACACTCTAATCTTCTATAATCTAGTTCAATGCATCTAAATCCCTCCTCCTTAAACCATCTTACCCTTATACTAAATCACTGTACTTCTGTTCATCAAACAGGAATTCATCCTGAAGACATCAGAAACCAGAAATATGCAGCTCTATTCAGTTTTCAGGTGACTGACTTCCATGTGGGCAAGAACAATCACACACAAGCCTGCCTCAAGAAATCTATCTTATGTATTGTATGTAAATGGAAAGAGTTAATGTAGTTTGAGTAATATTGATGTGGGGAAGATAAGGGATATTCCTGGGAATGCTCACAGGGAAATCCCCTTCTGAATGCCCAAATTGGGCTGATCTAAACAGATAACTTCAAATTGGTTGAATGGACCATTTCACTCTTGCCTGCAGTACTTAACTCTTTTTCAAAGATCCCTGTAGTTCATAACAGTGCAGCAGCTAAAAACCTCTCCAAATTACTATTATGCTTGTGTAATTTTGAGTATGTAAAAATGCTATTTTGTTAAAAAAGAAAAAGGCAATATCCAGCCCTTGGCCGAAATACATGATTCATTCCTTCTTTTTGTAGCTGAAAACACAGATATTCTAATCTAGTTATGTTGACTAACACAGGAGCATACAGTGAGTACTACAGAGACAACGGGAATTTCTATAGTTATTAATGCAAAATGACTCAGTCAAGCTTATTTATTTTATTATTATTTAATTTATTGGCTGTCCATCTTACCCCAGAGTAACTCTGGGTGCCTTACAATTTTAAAGCTTTAAAAAAAACAACTGTAATTGTTTGTCCTAAAAAATGGAGCAATATGAAAACTATCCCAGGAAATGTCAATGAATGCATTAAGGAGAAAATATAAACAAAACAAAAAAACCACATACAAGGCCAAATCATTTAAATAAGCACTGATTATTCAGGATTCTTGCCAGATTATGGACAATGAAAACTAAATTTATCTAATGGGTTACAGTATTCCAGCCTTTACCTAATCTGGCATTTGCAACTCCCCAAAGTGTCCCACATAGCATCTGATGCAGCAAGTCCCTTACCTTTGATTCTGCTTCCTCTGTGCTTTGCTCCCAGGTGCTCTGGCATCTGGTCATTTCCAGGCACCTTGCAACAAAAAAGTCCTTGGGAACATTTGCTTACTTCAGGGTGCTATCATGACTTCTGCAACTAAGCAATATTTTCACACTACTTTACCCCTTGATAAATATACAAAATATACTGGGTGTTAAGCTCCTTTACTTCTTCCTGGGTCAATTTGCTATATATTTTACTCCAAAAGGGCTGTTCTTCTGAATTTTTTAAATGTACATCTCAGCAGATGTGTATAATAGTACAGTCACAAACTGCTTCTGAAATAGAGCTATTATTGGCAATTGCCGCTTTATTTATTTCTGGTTAAACATGCCTACGGAAGCAATTTTCAGGTAGTGCTCCTTCCTGTGATTTTGAACAGAATTTTAAACTCAGTTCTACGTAGACCTACATGTTGATTTGAACACAATGATGCATTAGCAATTAATGCCTCTGAGATATTTTCTTGAGGGCATGCACTATCTGGATTTTATCCAGCATTGAAAAATGCCCATTAAGATAGCATCTAGCTTTAATTGGTACTTATACTAATAACAGCTCTCCATTCTTGCAGTAGGATTAATTTTGAAAGTCTTATCCTATCGGCAGATTGATCCAAGTTAAATAATCAAAATAAACTATATTTAAAGCAGTCCAGTTATTATGGCTGTGCAATGCTTTGGATTTAGTTCAAAACTATGGAAACACAAACCCAATATTGTATAAAGCAGCCACATTTGATTCCAGAAGTGTATGGCTTCTGCAGCAGAGATGTAAGTCTGGAAAATGACATGGTTGTTTTAATGAATCAAAGATGCCATTTTCATACTTCTGTGTGATCCAAAGAATCTATTCTGAACTATATCCAAAACAACGTAATCCTTACATATTAATAAGCAATGTGAATTGATAAAAAGGTGACATAATGCCATTTCAAATGTATTGCACTATGAAAATATTTAGGTAGAAAGACATGTATAACTGCAAACTGCAATTGTTAAATTAAATATTATTTTGTTGATCTTAAGTATTACTTTAAGACTTGGTATTCTCACATCTCAGCTAAAACTACTTGTTTAAAATGCTGATATGTTAAAAAGATTTCCACTGATCTTTACAGACATTTTAACACGTGCAGATACTTGTTTTAGATACATAACTGTGCATGTCCAGCATTTAAAAAAAGCATTTTTTCCACTGAGATTATAAACACATATAGTGTGGATCTTTTAATGAATCAACGTAACTGAAAATAGAAATATTTCAATACTGTGATTAATTAATCTTTAATTAAATTAACGATTTAAATATCAAAAGCCTTTATACATTAATATCAAAAGCCTTTATACATTAATTTCAATGAAAAATTTTGTTCAAGTTTTTACTTCAATAGCAATTTTATAAAATAAAATTAAGTGAGTGACCCTACTATGTATCTCTAACTTTACCAAACATGATCCTGAAATCAGGAAATTTTAATTAGCTATTTTGATATAAGAGGAGCAGAGTTAGTTTTAAATTGCTTCTACATTTTCTATGCAACTGCCATCCTTTAATCATCCTCTTTGCTCTTAGTATCCTGCATGCTACTTTACTTCTATTATATATCAATGTTTTGGTATATTTTAGCATAATAATTTATCAGTACTGTCACTGCCACAAGAGACTTTAAATAATAGTTGGGCAGAAGCAGAGCAAAAAAATTATTATGTAAATAAGTTCAAATTGAATATAATAAAACATTAAAAGGTAGATTGCCATCAGGAAAAGGTGAGATAACACAATACTGTCATGCAGAATGGATGTGTATTTACCCATGTAGTATGACTGTAGTATTATTATTAATCTTTCTTATTATCTTCTTCAGTCCCCCTCTTATTTTTTATATTATTATTATGATTATCATTATTCCATTGCCTTGCATGTACACTGAGAGCTTCTGCACCAGAGACAAATTCCTTGTATGTCTAATAAGTATTTAATTCAATTCATAATGTAATATGCTGCAGTTCTAAACACCACATAACAATCCAATTACTCGTCTCCCAACATATGCCTCCCAAATCTTCTCAAGGAGATTCCCCAAACCTCTGGAATAGATCTGATAGTGCATTAGACATTGCAGGAAGAGAAATCCAATATGTTGGTATTGCCTTTTCCACCAGCTAACAAAAAAGACATGCTTACAACTTAAGAGAAATAAATACTGTAGTTCTTATTTCTCAGTCAAAGGTCATAATCAGAATTGGCTTTTAAATTTTGATTTGTATTTTAAAAGGGTGAATGAGTCAGTCTGCAGGAGGACTTTCTATGCACATGTTGGAGCATTGTGAAGTTCTAACAAACATGGTCAGAGGCATATTTTGTCATTATCCCAAGTAACAGCAACATTCATGTGGAAGGTAATCATTTTAATAAACATATTATATAGTAATTTATAAGAAGCACTTACTGGGTAATTTTTTTGGAGGGATGGAAGGATAGGTTCAGGTAGGGCTATAAAAAAAAGTTTAAAATCACTGTGATTTATATATTTCGCAGAAAACAACATATCAGTGGTGTGAACTGAAAGTTTAGGATCAAATGCTTATCCCAAAACTCAAATTTCTAGCTTTTTAAATTAAACATATTACTTGCATAATGTGTGAGAAAACTGATTAAACATTTAAGAATATGACTCTCATTTAAATCCAAGTTGCAATATAAATTTATCCAGGGACATCTGAAATTTTCAACACTGAAGACATTGTATTTAATTATAAACATAATGTTTTTAGGCTTTTGCAAGTTATGCAATTCTAAATTATCAACATGGGATTAAGGTGTAAATTAAGTTTTCAGTAGTATCTGGAATAATGTCTAGCTTTCAGTGAATGGAAAATTTAACGTATCTAAAAATAATCACTATCGATATTAACTATGAATAAAAAATTATCTTATTTACAGGTATTCCTCAACTCACAACTGTAATTCAGCCTGTCCATTATAGTTGCAAATTGTGATGGTAATTAAGCAAAGTGACCGTATGATCCTATGACTTAACAACCTCAACCTCAGTTTTCTGTGATGCAGCCATTTGATCACTACACAAGTTGTTAAGCAGAGCATTGGATACCACAGGGGAGGGAGAGGTCCTGGAAAGCCTAGTACAGGCCAAAACCCACCTGTGTGGGACCTCCAGAGGCTCCTCTCCTGAGGGGGGGAGCAGAAGACAACATGTGTTTCCACCCCCCTCAGGATCCCAGACCATGGGTCTGCTTCCCACCCATTGGGCCCTATGTGCTTTTTTCAACTCCTATCCTCATCACCCATCATGCACTTACCTTTTGAGGATCTCTGGACCTACAGAGCTTGCATTGGGGACAGGGGTGGTGGTGAAGCAAGGTGCTCTGTCCCTCAGTGTCCCTGGGACAAGTGCTTCACCCTGGAAGAAATGTCACTTGTAGAGCAGCCACAGTGAGTTGTGACCCTTCCAGAACTTGTGTTAGAGGAGGAGAAGTGGGAGCTCCCATCCCTCACCACCCCTGAGCGGCATGGCTTCATCCCAGAAGTGGCTGCAATGAATTCTGGCGACTCTGAAAATGGCAACCATTTCTGGGACTGCACATGGGCCAGGGATACCAAGAGATGCTGCGGCTTGCCTTCCTTCCCCAACATGAGTCCTGGAGCCCCAGAGATCTTTGAAAGGTAAATGTGCAATGTGTAATGGAGGGTGGGTAGGAGGGAGACAGAACTAGTGGGGTGGGAAGCAGAAGACTCATAGGTGAGGGGGCACTTCAGCACCTTGCGGATAATTCTAAGAGCGAATGATCATAGGAGAGTTAGAGCAGCCCTAACTGAACCAGGTTGGAAGTAGCTTTGGGAGGTTTGAACAGTCGCTAAGTGACTAGTTGTAAGTACATCTTTTTTAAAACATACCTATTATAATTCTAAGGGCATGTGATGGCCAGCAATTCTTTACTTCCAAGTTGAAAATGTTCATGAAAGGACTGACCTATTTTATATGCAATTTTATAACTCTTTGACTAAAAGGCCAATATGTTCAAACTATTCCTCTTCTAGAATGTGTCAGTGAATCTTTCTTTCTCTCTCTTTCTCTCTCCTTATCTGCAAAACTCTTGAGTGAACTATATAATTCCACTAGGCCAGAGTACTTATGATTTGGAGCATCAACATATTTAATTGGTCTCAAAGGAAAATGAAGCAACTATGGCTATAAAGGCTCAGTTTCCCAACAATGTCTTACTTCAATGCTCATACTTATACTTAAAGAAAAACATATAATTAATTAGATTAAAGGTGGAAAGTTGTGATATATTATAATAGCAAGAACTCAGGCGTGTTATAATATTATAGTATCTTTTATGGCTAATAATTTTATTAAAAGGCAAAGTCTTTTGTGAACTACAGCTCACTTCATCAGATACATGAAATGGCTGGACTGATAAAACACAAATACGTATTTTATCATTACTATATCACAGATAATCCTCAAGATATGGCTGTAATGGACCCTGCCCATTACAGTCACAAGTAGTAGATGGCCATTAAGTGAGATAGTCTCACTCAGTGACTCCATCCCCTTCTCTCCCTGACACAGCCATTAAACAAATGTGCAGGTTGTTAGGCAGAGCACAGAATGCATCAGGAGTGCAAGAGCCCCAGTTCTACTTAGAACTGAGCCCCAGCTCCACATGGTCCACGCCTCCCCCATCCCTGAGACACCTCAAATCCTGCTTCCTATCCCTTGGCCCCTGCAGGCCTTTCCCTTTCCAACAGGTTTCTGCAGGCCTTTCTCTTTCACCCTGGGTCCCTGAGGCCCTTTCACCAGTTCTCTGCAGACCTTAGGCCCAATTCAAACCCCACTGAGCCCTACACTTCCCTCCTAATTTACCTTTTGAAGATCTCCAGACTCATTCTAGGGATGGAGGGCAGGCCACAGATCCCTGGCTGTGTGGCTGCCTTCTGGATGCAACCTCATTTTCAGTGCGCCTGCAATTCCTTGCAGGTGTACCCAAACAACATCCACTTCTGGATGATGGTTGCTGTGCAGGCAAGGGTCAAGTAATGATAGAGCTGCTGAAAAATGATTGGGTAGTAGCCCCATGGCCAAGGTAGAGTCTTGGTCAACTCGCCATGGTTGATTTACCCCAACCATCTTGCCCCATCTGACTCGCCCCATCCAACTCAAAACAGTCAACTCATCGTGGGACAACTCACTGCATAACAATTCAATATAGGATAACTCAATAGAGGAACAATGTCAGTGGGTCTTGTCTTGCTTTAGGTTTAAACCCTCTCAAGTTAAAAGTACTCAAGGCTGTGGTGAACTGCAATTCTAGTTGGCCTTCTCTCAAGTTATCCCACATTGAATTGTCGAGCTGGCCCTAAAGAGTTTTCCCATTGACCTGAACTTCTTTCCCATCATGAAGTCTCGATATCTTCAAAAGTCAAATGTGCACTGGATAATAGGAATGTGAGGAATAGGCCCAAGGCCTGTAGGGACCTGTAGGGAGCAGTGAGGGATCGGGGAAGGGAAGGCAGGGGCGCTACAGTGTTTCTGTGGTCAATTGTGAGAGTGACTGCAGATTGCAGCAACGGTAACTCCAAAAAAGGGTTGTAAGTAGCTTTTGATGGATTTGTTAAAATTTCGAACAGCTGTTAAGTCACCATTCATATCTCGAGGACTATTTGTATATTATAGACTATTATAATGTATAATTAATTATAATAACTTATCACATTATAATATCTAAGAGAGGTTTCTACAGTAATATAAATACAACTTTTAAAAAACAATCCGTTTTTATTTCCCTAATGCCTAATTATAATTATCATAGCTATAAAACACAACTACAAACAGAATCTGAAAATGATTAGCATAATTTTATCTTGTCCTTTTTCCAATGAGCTCGGAATCTGTGTACATATATTTCTCTTGAAATAATTTACACATCAGATCAAGCTTTTCTTGTTTGAAATAAAAGTTTAATGGTGGTTATACTGTATATCCTCATCCATTCAGTTTTTGTTCATCATAGAATTCCTGATAAAGCTTGAAACAGAAACTACGATAATTTATGGCAGCAATTGCTTTTTAAATATTCAAATTCATTTAAAATACAGAGTCAGTTAGAAGAATGTTAAAATAGTTAATGTTAACTATTAATATTTAGCAATTAATATTAATGTTAACAGCTAATAAAACAATGTTAGTGACTGATTTTTTAAATTTGTTCTCTACTGTATTTAAGAAACAGCAAGAAATCTAAGTGATTATATTACAGACTGTTTCAGTATTTTTGATAAATATGCATGTTTCTCAGAGAACACTTCCATGCGTCAAAAAACATGGCAGAAGTGAAAGAAGCAAAAACAAATATTTTACCTAGAGACCTTGCTAGCAGTTTCCTAACAACTGATTCTAAGAACATTTGACAAATGTTGAAAATGTCTGAAAAGTTCAGCAAGTACTTACTTTGTAAATAGTGCAAAACCATCAACACAAGACTATAGCTGTTTAAAGTGCCTCGGCTGGCATCATTTATACCATGAAAGCTTGCCCATTTCTTTACAACCAGCGCTAATGGACGTACTCGGTTCTCAACTATAAACAAGAAATACAATTTTGACAGGCAGAACACTTACATGGTTATTCAATGAAAATGGCTATAAACAGTTTAATTCAAGACTGACCTCTCAACTAGAGCACATATTCATCTATCATTATTAGGGTTATGGATGCTAACAGATATTTTGCTTTTAAAATAGTTTTGCCATTCTTTATTACACTAGAAGCTCTTCCTATCTATTCTGTCTACCATTTTCATAATTTCACCTCTAAATACTTTTTCTTAATTAAAGTGTTGTGTGTTGTTTGTTGTTGTTCAGTTACTAAGTCACACGCGACACATCACAATCTCATGGACTGTAATATGCCAAACACCCCTCCCCGCCATCCTCCATTGTCTTCCTGAGATTGCCCAAACTTATCCCCATCTCATCCTGTCATCCTCTTCTCCTTTTGCCTTCAATCTTTCCAAATATTGGGGTCTTTTCCAATGAGTCCTCTCTTTTCATTTGATGACCAAAGTATTGGAACTTCTTAACTAAAGTAAATACAGCTAAAACCCCGAATTTCTCTCTGCCATCCCCTAATACTATTTAAACTTGGAGACTATGAGCATTTTGGGACAAAAAGAATCTGTTACATTAACTGCTACATAGTTTACCAGTGCTATTCTAGTCCTTACAATAATTCATTTAGCAACCGTTTAGTTACAGTGGTAATGAAAAAAGTGGCTTACAGGTCTCACACTTATGACTGCCACAGTGTCCTGCAATCACACAATCAAAATTTGGGCACTTGGTAATTGCCATGCAATTATGACGGTTTCAGCTTCCAGGGGTCATGTGAACTTCTCAGGGGAGTTCCAACAAGCAAAGTCAATGGGAGAGGATTTACTAAACGGATGGTTTGAGGACTACCTATATTAGAATTCTGACATGTTCTTTACAACCATCATCACGTTTGCTTGGTTTTTTAGTACAATGGTTTCTCCCAAGTTTGCATGTATGGCCCCAAATTCTAAGGTACCGAGTATCCTCAGTTTTCAAAGGAAGTAAGGATTCCAAAAGGAACCCAATCCATGATACAATAAGTAAACTACTTACTGAATGCATAGGTTCTCAGAAGGAATGTATTTCTTATTCCTGCAACATTGTTTACATTCAAGTCAAAATCCATACAGCTAGAAGAAAAAACAAATTCAATTTGCACCAGTACTTTATACAAACAAATCCAAATTATGTTACCTTAAAAACATGGATGGGAAAAACCTCTTTTTCAGGCTAAATAATTCTCTGTAGTAGAATAACTATACCTAGAGATAGCCTTTTCAATATTTGGCGTCCCTAAAACCCTCCAATTCTTTGGCTTCGTTCCCTGACCTGCCTATTTGGAATTGGGCAACAACCTCCATATACTTATTAGGATGATAAATGTCCCACTTCACTAGGAATGAAGCTTTCTTTCAAGCATTTGACGAGGGATGCTCCCATGGTGGAAAAAGGATAGTATTGGAAAGCCTGGGATTCCAAAGGCCAATCACAAAAAATCAGAATTTTGTCCATTTAAGTGTATCTCTGCATTCTCTTTTTGGTTAATGTATTTTATTATGTACACGATCATAATGGAAAAAATTATATCATGAAGTCCTCTATTCATGTCCAGTTGCAAAACGCTGTATTTTAGGCATTGAAGTGAGTGCCTATTTCGTAAGCATGTGGGGTCTATAGTAAAATTAGCAAATGTTCATGGCAGCTTACCTTAGTCACTATTTGCTCTGCCTATGAATTCTAGACTGCACAATTGGACCATCAATACTGAGTGGTAAACAAAATGCACTTGGCTTTTGCTCAAAAGCATTGCTGTTTTAAATGTGCTACTGCTGACACCAGGCAACAATTAAGTGTTGCTTCTTAGAAAGCCATTTATTTAAGCAGACACATCATTTATCAAGCTCTTGGGGAAAACAGATTCTAATGAATTGTAGAAAAGCTTGAACAACTGAATATAATTAAAATGAGTGCAATGCATTGATTGTAGTTGCTAATCAAACCTTTGAAAAATAGTAAGTTATAAGAAAGGTACAAAATCTGCTAGTGAGACAATCAGGAAATCCTGACAAACTCTGGCGTAGCCAAAATGCTCAAAAACAAACAAGTCATGGTACTGGTACTTGGTACTTGGTAATTTGGCCAAGCCTGTAAACTCCTGGGCAATGGCAGGAAAAATATTTAATTGGTAAGTCGATCAGACACAGACATACTGGGGAATAGGTGGGATAGTGCAACCTCTTCCTTATTCACACAAGCGGTGGTTTTAAAAGCAGCCAGGACTCACAAAATACAAATATATGTTATTTGAATATTGATAATAGAAGGCTATATACCAATTCTTTGCTCTCTGAAACTGACCTGGGGATCCTTCAAGTAATTTCCTATAGTCCCATATCAATACTCCACTGCTCAAAAGACCAAGGCGCTGACCGCCACATACTGAGTGATAGATAAGAGTAGCATAACAGCAATGGTCTCTGGGCTTGTCTCAGGGACTGACTGACCAAGTTACTCAATTTAGGGTGTGCCAGGTTTTTCAGCTTTCAATTCCCAAATAATAGGGGTGCTCAAAAGTTGTGACATGCCTTGAGGATTGGAAAGATATTTTGGTTACTTTAATATAATTTAGATTTGCTTGGTAATTGCAAGCTTGATATTAACTGCATAAATATCATAACTTTTTAACATTTTATTTGCTTCATTTCCCAGGTTCAGCTGTCTTTCTCTTTTTGTTAAATGCTATTTTGTCTGAGAGTGTTAATACGGCTGGCCTCGTTTCCTGTGAGTATGGTAAGTGATCTGTAATGGTTTCTAAAACAAGAACAAGACTGGGAACATTCACTCATATGAGCCACCTAATTGGGACTGCCAGGGACTTGTTGCCACCTGAACGCCAACATTATGACATTCTCAACATGGCCTACTGTTAAGAGAACAAAGTTGTTATGATGCTTGAAACTACCCAGCAGTCAATCTTGCAAGAGATATATATCAAAAAATGCTTAAAAAGTGGAACAAATGAATAGTTCTTTTGTGACCTGTTGTAAATTCACAAGTGATAATCTTGAACAAGATCTAAGAGAGCTGGGATCAAGCCAAATATCTCTCTTAGTAGAGGAAAGCTAGATGTCAAAGAGACTTTCACTGTGAAACTTGACAAACTGACATCCTCAACTGCAAGTATCAAATTGTTCTGTGTGCCAATTTCAGCTGCCTTGCTGGCTGCAAAAAAGCAGCTCACATTAACTGTACCTGCCCTAAGAAGATGAAGATATTGTCAACTTCTAAAGCATTGCCATGACTATTATCAGGTTGGCATTCGAAGAAGGATTCCATGCATACCTTCGGCCAGAGTTGGATCTCAT